AGTGGGTCACAGAAGAAATTAAAGAAATGCAGACTCAAACTCTTCAGTGAAATTGAAAGGGAATCAATTCTCCCTAACTCATTCCTGGAAGAAACCATTACTCTAATACCAAAACCTGAGAAAGACCCAATTAAAAAAGAACTACAGGCCAATCTCCCTAATGAACATAGTGGCAAAAATCCTCAAGAAAATTTTGGCAAGCAATGCAGCAAATCATCAAGAAGATTATACACCATGACCAAGTGGGATTTATCCAGGAATGCAGGAATGGTTCCAGATACACAAATGAATAAATGTAATCCATCATATCAATAGAGCCAAAATTAAGAACCATATGATCACTTCTCTAGATGCAGAAAAAGCTTTTGATAAGGTCCAATACTTAATCATGATAAAAACCTTACAGAAAATTGAAATAGATGGTCTTTACCTCAGTATGATAAAAGGCATCTATGACAAACCAACAGCTAGCATCATATTCAATGGCCAAAAACTGAAAGCATTTACCCTAAAATCAGGAATAAGATGATGATGTCCGTTATTACCACGTCTATTCAATATAGTGCCTCAAATAGTAGCCAGAGCAATTAGCCAAAAAAGAGAAATAAAAGGAGTAAGGATAGGAAAATAAATTATCATTATTTGCAGATGACATGATACTCTACTAGACCCCCAAAACTCCACTGAAAGACTTCTAGACATAATAAATTCAGTAATGTAGCTGGATACAAAGTCAGTGCTCAAAAAATTAATAGAATTCCCATATACTAACAAGAAAACCACTGAGAGAGAAATAAGAGAAGCTACACCCTTTACAATAGCATCCAAGAACATGAAATACTTAGGGATTAATCTAACAAAAGAAGAAAAAGATCTCACTGGGGAAAATTATAATACCCTTAAAAAGAAATTGAAGAGGACCTCAGAAAATGGAAAGACATCCCTTGCTCATGGATAGAAAGGACAAACATTGTGAAAATGGCCATTCTCCCAAAATTGTTATGTAGATTTAAGGCAATCCCAATCAAAATACCACTAGTATACCTCACAGATCTAGAGTAATCACTTCTAAAATCCATATGGAACCAGAAGAGACCTAAATAGCAATGGGAATTCTAAGCAACAAAGGCAAGGCAGGAGGCCTCACAATCCCTGACTTGAAGTTATAGTACAAAGCTACTGTAATAAAATCAGTATGATACTGGAATAAAAAGGGACCTGAAGATCAATGGGATAGATTAGAAGACAGAACTTCAAATACACTCAGCCACCTTATCTTTGATAAAGGGGCCAAGTACGTCCACCAGAAGAGTGTCTCTTCAATAAATGGTGATGTAAAAATTGGCTCTCCATATGCCGAAAACTAAAACTAGGCCCATGCCTAACATTGTGTACTAAACTGAAGTCTAAATGGATTAAAGATCTAAATATTAAAACAGAAACACTAAATTTGTTGGAAGACAAAGTAGAAATCTTGAAGACAGGGATAGGTAAAGAAGTTATGAAGAAGGATCAAACTGCACATGAAATACTTCACAGAATTAACAACTGGGATCAGGTCCTATTAAAAGAATTTTTGCATATCAAAAGAAATCTGCATAGTTAAAAAAAATCCCACATATTGGGAAAAAATCTTAGTGAACAGTCCCTCAGACAAAGGGCTTCTGTCTAGAACATATAAAGAATTTTTAAAAATCAGACACCTGAAATTCAAAGACCCAATCTAAAATTGGGCATCTGAGATGAATACACAGTTCTCAGACAGAAATACAAATTACAAATAAATACATGAAAAAATGTTCAGCATCATTGGTAATTAGAGAAATGCAAATTAAAACCATACTGAGATTCTATCCCACTCCAGAAAGAATGGCCAGGATAAAGAAAACTAACAATAAATGCTGGAGAGGCTGTGGCAAAAAAGGAACTCTTCTGTACTATTGGTGGGACTGTAGACTAGTGCAGCAGCCTCTGTGGAGGTTAGTCTGGAGATTGCTCAAAAAGCTGGGATTGGAGATCCCATTTGACCCAGCTATTCCACTTCTGGGCATATTCCCAGAAGAACTGAAAACATACCACACTGGTATTTGTGTACCCATGTTTATAGCAGCATAATTTGTAATAGCCAGATCTTGGAAACAACCTACATGCTCATCAACTGAGGAATGGATAAAAAGATATATTTCTGCACAATGGAGTACTGTTCTGCTATGAAGAATGATCACATTGAGATATTCATAAGGAAATGGATGCAACTTGAGACCATAACTCAAACTCACATATGTAAATACCGTATAGTCTCCCTAATGGAAGAAATAGAGTACAAAAGATACAAAAATCTCCATAAACAGAAGTGAAAGGACAAGGCTGCTTAAAAGGGTAAAAACAATATCAGGAAAAATGCGGAAATAGAAAAAATATCTAAAATTATATAAGCTCTTAGGATAGCTAAGATGATTGTGCTACAAATTCTTTAAGTTCTTGGAAGAAAATAGTTAACATTCATAGGATTCTAACAATCCTATGCATATTGCATGGTGTTCTGAGGAACTCTTGAAGATCATTATGTAAAAAACCCTAGTTACGCCCATACTACTTTGTTTTGAAGACCTATATTGTCAGTGTTCTGGGCTCTTTGCTATTGTCTATATTTTTCGTTTTGTGTTTTTCTAGGAATTTGTTGTGTTTTGTCTTGTTTTTCCCTCTAATACAGAAAGAATATGTATTCATATAAAGACTCATGCATGTGTAGAACTTCTGAACAGTTTGAGAATTGATAATATAATGCACGATGAAAAGACAGCTACTTTGAAGAAAAAGAGACACTAAGGTACTCAGTACTGATTCCATAGTGTCATGATGTGAAATCCACCAATACTATTCTTGTTCAGAGTGATCTTAGTCTGTTTTGTTTTGTCCAATTTCAATATAAATGAAGGTATGGACAGCTATTTTGAAGAGAATGAGAGTCATTGTGGCAGCCATTGTTGACTGACCTATTACCTGGTCTTGAAAACCTAAAGTTCCTTCATCCTGTTCTGATCAGTTTTACACTATTTTGTACGAATTCATTGTATATGAAGATAAGGACAACTGTTTGGAAGAAAACAAGAGACAATGTGATAGATAGTGAAGATCCCCAGTTGTCTTGCTTTGAAATCTGTGTCTCTTACATTGTTTCCTTATGATCTGTTTTGTTCTGTTTAATTTTACACTCTTTAAAATAAATTTTTTTAAAAAGTACAATAATTCTATGAAATAGTAATTATATGAAATATATTGAATGTCTTTAACTGTCAGGGAAATGCAAATCAAAACTACAGTCATAACAGCTATCATCAAGTGTCACAGCTCACAACCATGGCACAGCACAGAGAATGAGAGATCACTTCAGAGTCAATGCCCAGTTCAAACTCCAAGACAGCCTAAAGGAATGACCCTTAACTGAGACCCCCCCCCACTTCAGCATGAGAAAGTCTCATAAGACTCCCCCAAACTGAAAATTCTGTGACTTTTTATTGATAGAAAGAGGAAACAAGAATAAAGAACAAAAGTGCAAGAATTCATGTAGGGGACACGAGATCAGGGTAGTCAGTTACATGATTAACCTTAGGGCCAATCTAAGTGATACATTGGAGTGATTAAGGCAGTATGTTTTGATCCAACTTAGACTCATGGCCCTGTAGGCTGTCTTTTAATCTCTAATCATGCATTCTGGGAGGTTTTGAGTGTGTGTCTCCAAAACTCCCTTATTTCTGCATTTCCATCTCATGCATATCTCTGGCTCCATAATTATTATCCATAATCAAGAATACAAAAACTACCAATGGTGGTGAGGATGACAGGAAAAATTTTTATATAGTTGCTGAGAATATAAATTAATGTAGCCAGTATGGAAATTTCTCAAAAACTAGAAATAGAAACTACCATATGACCCTAGATATACTGGTAACTTTTTATATATCCAAAGTAAATTCAGCATACTATACCACAATAGCCAAGTAGTGAAATCAGCCTAAGCCTGTCAGTGAATGAATGAACAAAGAAAAATATGGTACCTGTACATAATACAGTATTATGCTGCCTTAGTGAAAAATGCATGTGTAGGAAAAGGGATGAAATCAGAGACATTATTTTAAGCAAAATAAGCTACACTCAAAAAATACAAACCTCCTGTGTGGAACTTAGGAGAAGCCATGATGAAAGTGAAAATGTTAGCCAATAGAAAAGAGGAAAGGTGTCAAGGAGAGGAAGGTAAGGGAGGATAACGAGGGTTAGATATGACCACAATATGTGCTATCTATGTATGAAAATGTCACAGTGAAGCTCATTCTGTGTAATTCATATAAATACAATTCATAAAAATATAATGAAAGTTGCTTTCCTGGAAATCCACCCTACAACTTCCCTATGTGTTTTATTTGCTAGGACTTAAGTCGTTAGCAACAAATAGTCCAAAAAAGACTAACATTACTAAAAATTAAACCAAGCATCTCTTAGGAAAAAGGAGAATATTTGTTCTTGGAAAATAGGTAACAACCTGTATTATAAGACCATAGGAGACGCTCATACAGACTTCTTAGTTTAAGCTATTAAAACTCGGATGTCCCCACCTGTCCATATAACTGGATAGTGGCAGAGTTACAATCAAAACCCAGATGTCTGCCTGACATACATTAACCAGAGGATTCACAGTTGCTTCTCTTAGTGATAAATTAGATAAAATGATAATCAATTAAACTGTTGTTAATACAGGAGTTTTCTTTGCCTGTATTCCTCAGTGTCTTTTTTTTTTTTTTTTTCGTTTCTTAAAGTTTTTATTAGTACTTGTTTACAGCAAATAATTATGTTCATGGTAGGGAGTTGATGTATGTACATACAGTATCTTAGTTCTTTTTACTCCTTTTTCCCTCTCTCCTTCCCCTCCTCCTTCCATCTTGTAGCATTTGTTTTTAACACTTAACAGGTTTTTAACTTTTTTTTCAAATATTCTCTTACAGTATAGCTGAAATACAGAAAGATGTGGAGTATAGGTTGCCCTTCACCGTAAACAACCTGACAATTAACATTAATATGTGAGTAGAATTGTATCCTAATTTTCATGTACTAGTATTTAAATTTTTTTGTTTTCTTTAGTTACTATTAACAGCTGTTTAAAGTGAACTTACTTTAAGTAACTGTAATTTGTAAAGTAATATGTCATTTAATGTGATTAAAAATTTTAAAGGATATTCAACTTAAAGAAAAAGCCATGCTGTATTTATCTTCATCTCCTTATTGTCTAGCACAGTGCCTATGCATAAGCCTTGTTAACTACTACATTCGTGAATGTAGCAATTGAAGCATGACTGTAGAACTCTGCTGAACATTAAAGCTATGTTAACTTGACATATGTGATCTTTTTGAATCCTCAGAGCAGCCTTGCAAATTAGGACAAATATAGACACATGGTTAGTCAATAACATAATCTGAATCAAACTCCAATTGGTTGATTCCAAAGGCCATTTATTGTCCCTTTTGTTAACCTAGTTTAAAAATCTTTGGCTTTGGTTGTCATCTTCTCCTTCTCCTTTTCCTCCTCCTTCTCCTCCCTCCTTTCCTCCCCCTTTCTTTTTTTTTTTTTAATTGTTGTCTTGGTATGTAGTTCAAACTGATCGTGAACTCATGACAAGCTTCCTGCCTCAGTTTCCCAGTGTTGAGATTATAGGCATGGGCCTCTATAAATGACTTGGTTTTCTTCTTGACAGTGCTGCCAACAAATAATTTTCTGAGCCAACAGGGAAATAGAGGCAATTTAAAGGGAAATATGTTGAATTTAAGAGATTTGGAAAGCATTGTTCTATATTCACTAAGTTCATTTTTAAAGACTTTCTCTGTAATCTTAATTTTGCAATATTTCAAAAACTGATTAAATTTTTCACTTTTTATTGTATTGAGAATTTACTGTGCTTTACTTGAAACCATGTGGTTGATCTCATTTTACCTATTCAATCTTTAGAGATAGAATAGATTCTGAAATAACTATTGGCAGCATCACAAAATTTTCATTTTAAGAACACAACCTATATGACTAGAACCTGTAATGTACTAAATGGCCAGACTGTGTATGAATAATATAAAACAAATGTCTAATCTAATTTTTAGCTGAGATTTTTGTATAGGCTGGTATATTGTATTTGAAAGCAATTAATTGGAATGGTCAGGAGATTTCTCTGTAATTCAAAGTGTCCACATTGTATATATTCAGCCAACTCAACAACCATAACAGAGCATTGATTACTAAATAATTAATACATATAAAATGTTAAAATTTAATTTCCCTTTAACTTTTTTTTGGAATTTTGACCATATGATGTAACATTTGCTAATTTTGTTTTTCATCTTTACCAGATTACTTCCTCCACAGTTTCCTCAGGAAAAACCAGTGATCAGTGTTTATCCACCAATACGACATCATTTAATGGATAAACAAGGAGTATATGTTACCTCTCCATTAGTAAGCAATGTATGTATGTTACGATTTACTTCAGAATAATACAGCAAGTATACTACTTTTTGATTAAATGTTTTAAAACATGAAATACAGGGGCTGGAGGTTTAGCTCAGCGGCATAAGCACCTGCCTTGCAAGCAGGTGGTCGTGAGTTCGATCCCCGGTACTGATAAAAATGAAAAAGACCAAAAAAAAAAAAAAACAAAAAAAACAAAAAAAAAACATGAAATACATTTTAAATTTCATTTTGGAATCAATAATTTTCCAAAGAGTATTTTATGTTACATAATAGATAATACGGTGTTTATTTAACACTGTGCCTCAAAGTTCTTGGCTATGATGTGATTGGTTAACATGAAGGACTGTAACTTAAATGTATTCTCAGTATCTACTGTTGAACTCTCAAATTGTAAACAGTGAAATCAGTGGAAATATTTTATGTACATTGTGAATGAATAAATGTCTACCCTCTTTTGCTAACTGCCAAATATTTATAGTATCAAAACACAAGAAATGTTGTAAATTTTTTATCATCGTTATGTAAAAGTGATATTAATCATCATATGTTGCTGTAACTTTCAGTTTACAATGCACTCAGATCTTGGAAAAATTATTCAGAGTTTGTTGGATGAATTCTGGAAGAATCCTCCAGTTTTAGCTCCTACTTCAACAGCATTTCCATAGTAAGTATATTTATAGTGAATAAAAAATTTTTCAGTTACCATATAAATCAAAATATAGTATAAGCCAGGCCTTCTGTTGCACACCTATAATCCTAGTACTTGGGAGGCTGAGGCAGGAGGCTTGCCATGAGTTTGAGGCCATCAAAGGCTACATAGTTCAAGGCCAGCCTGAACCTTGGAACAAGACCCTATCTCAAAAACAACGACAACAATAACAAAAAACTCTTAAAAACCCAAAACAAAAATATAGGGCCAGGAATTTAGCTGAGTGGTGTAAGCGCCTGCCTGACAAGTGAAGGGCATGAGTTCAATTCCCAGTACCCTCACCCCACCAAAAAAATGATGTTAAAATACAGCTCTTTGATTTCTACATCCTACCTTCATACAGATATATCCACACTCTTCAGAGGTGCCTACGTTTTCCTCTTTTAACTGTTTCTTCTAATATTTACCTTTATCTTTCTGAATAATATGTTTGGTTATTTTTGACACTCAATTTGAAGTGGTACAGAGAAAATGAGAGAAGACAAAGATTGAGGGCTCAGGAGAGGCTGCAGAAAGCGGGGTGCGGGGACTCTCAGTGAGAACAAAGAAGTGAAGCTACTTTTATCAGTTCTGGCAGAGGGAGGAGTTTGGGAGGTGGGCAAAATGACATATGAACAGCTGGTTTCAAGGAGCATCTGCCTGTGCAAAACTGCAAACAAAGATTTCCTGGGGCTGGGGGTGGAGTGCTTGGGTAGTTGTGGAGCCTTGGGATTAGAGAGGACTCTGCAAGCAAAAAGTGAGCAGGAAGTTTATCTCTGGAATGAGAAGGAGAGCATAGAAGTTACTGTTGGAGAGACAAGTTTTGTAGCTCAGGCTGGCTACACTTGGGAGCACTTGGGAGGCTGAGGCAGGGGGATTATGAATTCTTAATCCCCCTGCCTCAGCCTCCCAAGTGCTGGGATTACAGGCATATCCCACCACTCCTCAGCCTCCTGCCTCAGCCTCCCAAGTGCTGGGATTACAGGCATATCCCACCACTCCTGGCTCACAAATTTTCTTTAATGTTGTGGAATTTATTACTTTTTTATTATACCTTCTGAATTGGGGACACAAAGTTCTTTCGCACCTTAAAGTTGAAATTTCACAATAATTTCATCTAGCTACTTTAAAATTTTGGAAAAAAAAATTCTTGATGTGGCTGTAATTTAATTTTCCAACTATCTCAAAACTGTTGACTATTATTCACTTACAGGAGTGTCTCTCTATATGATATCCTAATTTCCATATGTGTTTAGGCTTTTTAAAATTCTGTTTTTTTTTCATCCATCTGTGTATTCATTTACCTGTACTGTGCCTTTTTAATGGTTAAGATTTTATAATTTATTTTGCTGCATGACAGTATGTATCTGTACTCTCACTTTTCAGACTTTTGCCTTGTATTCTCACTTATTTTTTCATAAAAATGTTAGCATTACTACTGAATACTTTCAAAGTCTGTAGTAAATGTTTTTTTCCAATAAAATTTGCAACTCTGGTTAATTTATATGATAAAATTATAATAATAATCCCACAAAAATTTGGTTAAGTTTTATGTATTTTGGAACATGTTTCAATACAAACTGAAATATTTTCATGGTTAATAGTATGTTTAAGACATAACCATAAGTCCTTTACTTTTTTGTCTGCCAAAAACAGATTTCCATCTATTATTGTTATTGGACAACTCACGGATAATTTTGTGTTCTAGCCCTAACATGTTCTCTTTTTCTCCTTAGCTTGTACAGTAACTCAAGTGGGATGCCTCCTTATGCATCTCAGTGCTTTCCATTTGTTCCTCCATTTCCTACACAAGAAGCTAACAGGACTATCAGTTCTTTATCTGTTGCTGACACTGTTTCTTCTTCAACAACGAGTTACACCACGGCCAAGCCTGCCGCTCCTTCATTTGGCGTCCTTTCAAGCCTGCCTTTACCCGTGCCCATGACAGACCCTTCGGCATCGGTTGGTATCTTCAGTAATCTGTTTTGTACCCGTAACATACGCATTTAAGTCAGTAAACACTTAATATTATGTGCCAGTTACTAAACTATGCACAAACTACAGAAATATTAAATCACATGTTTCCACTTACATAACAAACTGAAAGAAGTAATCAATAACTAATTGCAAGAAATTTCTTACAGAGACACGAAACATAGCAAGTTATGGTGATACCTACTTGAGGGGTAGCTCCCTGTTTCTAAAGACCAAGATAGAGCTAGCTGGGATGCATTTACAAAAATATATTTCTGATTTTTTTGTATCACTTTTTCATCCCTTCTGCTTCAAACCATATGTGATACAACAGTAGATGCTCAATAAAAGTGAGGCAGATGAATGACTACATTTAGGCTTGAGGCCAGAATAGAAGAGTGTGTCTTACTTTGTAGCCCAGGCTTGCTTCAAACTTTTGATCATCCTCTCTAGCAGCTGTGGTTACAGGCATATACCACCACCACACTCTACTTTGGAGGCCAGATTCTAAAAGATAGTGATGAATTTGCAAGAATGACAAAAGGTTATATAAGACATACTATCAGAGTTAGTAGCACTGACAAAAGTTATACAATATTAACCAGATGGTATTGTAAAGTTACCTGTAGTCCCTTTGGCATCACACAGGGTGTCAGCAAAGGCACAAGACATGTTTGGGTAGGAGAGGCAAGTGCCAGATTGAGAAAGGTATACATAGCATATTAAGGACTTAGCCAACTCACTGGTTAAAAATCTTACATTCTGAATTTAGTAACTTCAAGTGTGAGATGTTGCAAAGGGAGATACTAATACTTTGTGCATAAAATATTTTTAAAAATTTAAAAACTTTCCATTGTAGCCCATAGTGAACGACTCATGTAATGCATAAGCATAATAAAGCTTTATTATGTCCAACATTCCTAATTTCAAAGTTTGTAATCATTTAGAATATAGACTAAGGGGACTGTTTTTTCAGAACTTTTCATCATTACATTAATGAAGATTATGTACAAACTACAGCAACTAGTATAAACAAAATTGGAAGACAGCCTCTAACAGTCTTTAAGAATAGAAAAGTCACGTATTTTTGTATATATTCAAATAGTAGATAGTATGTTTCTCTATTCTACTGTTTTGTCTAACTTAGATATATAACTACTTAGACTACTGATAATTAATTTTTTAGTATTTGATGTGTTTTACTTAAGAAAAATGTATTTGCCTATATCCAGTTATCATAGATAGTTCTTCACATTTGTTACATATGCACTTGAGGTCTATTTTTTATAGCCATATACTTACCAAAAATACAGGCTCTTTTAAGCCTCTATTTAAAAAAAGATTTTAAAAAATGTAACCTTACATGAGCAATTATACTGAAAAAAAAATAGCCAGAATAAAGAAGGAGAGCATGAAGACAATGGAAAATACAAAGATGAAGTTGTAATAATGAAAACAGTTTGGGGACATAGTATGTTTAAATTACTTTTATAAGTAAATGGGAGCAACCCAAAAAATGGCTGAAATTTAATACCTTGTAAAATTCTTCTTTAGATAAGCCAAAATGGTTTTGGTTACAAGATGCCAGATGTCCCTGATGCATTTCCAGAACTCTCAGAACTAAGGTAAAAAAAACTTGGAAGTAAAATTGTGACATTGTTGTCTATTTTATTTATAAATATAAATCAAATCATTTTATATCGGTATTAAATAAAACTACTTTTCTACGTCACTATTCCTGTAATTATCTTAGTGGGAAAGTTTTATAAATCAATTTTAAGTCTTGTAGATTGTGTTTATTGAATACCTTAAATGCTAGAATTGATATAGTACTTATCAAGGTAACATATCCTTTCTCACATGACTTGCATTCTTTGGTTATTTTATTTTATTTATTTATGTATTTATTGATTGATTGATTGATTTGTACGTGAGATGCTCAAATTGGACTCAGGGCTTCTACTGTGCTAAGCAAGCAATCTACCACTGAGCCACACTCCCAGCCCTAATTCTTTAAAATTACTTCTGAATTCAGAGTATCACTGATGATTTCAAAATATATCTTGCCTTGTATTAGATCTGCTTTTGTCTCATTTTAGTAGGTAAACTTCGTACATAGAGAAATAGATTAAAACTTAATGCACAGTATTAACAAGCTGTTCGTACACAGCCTAAATTTATAGCAAATGACTGTTCATGAAATACTGTTTCTGTAAAATCTATAAGCAAAGTATTTTATGATCATTCAATTTGGGGAAGCATTATATCCTTTATGCTCCAACTGAAAGTTTATTACTCAGAAGGCTGTTATTACTGTTTATAATTAAATGTTTTGCAAGAACTTTGTTTTTTGTTCATAGAATATATCTTATCAGGCTTGCACACCAAATGTCTTGAGAAATTCTATAATTTAAAAGAAAAAGCTGGGCATAGTGGCGCATGTCTGTAATCCCAGCATTCAAGAGGCTGAAACAGGAGGATTGTTGTGAGTTCAAGACCAGCCTGGGCTACTTTAACTGCATAGTGAGACCTTGCCGCAAAAAGACCAAAAAAAAATTTAAAAGAAAGAAAAGCGTCCGGGCGTGGTGGTTCACGCCTGTAATCCCAGGCTGAGGCAGGAGGATCGTTGGGAGTTCGAGACCAGCCTAGGTTACAAAGTGAGCTCAAGGCCAACCTGAACTGCACAGCGAGACCCTGTCTCAAAAAGACAAAAAAAAAAAAAAAAAAAAAGAAAGAGAAGTTTATCTGTATTTACTTCAGTGATTTGCAGTGATCATTTTCCGCTAATAATAAAATGTTGACAGATATTTATAGTTTACTACACACCTTTAGTAAGAATTATAATGCTCACAACAATGCTCCCGTGAAGTAGGAGTTGCCATTTTTTAAAAAGTTTTCTTTTTTCTCTTTAAGAGTTCTACTTTAAGCTAGGCGTAGTAATGCAATGTTTTCTGGGAGACTGTGGCAAGAGGACCACAAGTTCAAGCCCAAGTGTGGGTGATTTAGACCTTGTCTTGAAATAAAGCACACAAAAAAAGATTGTGGATATAGCTCAGTGCAAAAACCCTAGAGTTCAGTCCCCAGTGATTAAAAGTATTTTTGCCATTTAAAAAACTTAAAAGATATCGTAACTACAAAACTACAAAACAGTTAAGAGAATAAAGCCTCCATGTATTCATCATTCACCATCAATAGTTATGAACCTCTTTGCTTTATGTATACATTCTTCTGTGTGGATATCTTTAACAGCTGTGGGTATGACTCAAGCCTATGTTAAAGTGAACCCTGGTCCTGTATTATTTTCATCCATATATTCACTGAGTAAGGTCAGTCTCTCTTTGTCTGTCTGTTCCCCAATTGAATATCACTATCATACCTTAATCAAATCAATGATAATTCTTAATATTATTTTATTTCCTCAGTATTTTAATTAAAATTTCTTATACCTGGTAGTTTGTTTGAATCAGGATTCAGAACAAGGCCCACCTATTTCAAAAATACTGGCTTTACAAGTTTCTTTTAATCGTGAATCATTTCTTTCCAACTTTATGTACACAAAATACACACTAACACATGTATATGCATGGATATGTATACACACATGCATTATTATTCATTTTTGAAGACATTGGTCATTTGTCCTAGAGATTCTCCTATATTTTGTTTTTGCCTAATTGATCTTTGTGGTACCATCAAAGATATTCCTGTTTCCCATATTTCGTGTGCTTAGTGGCTAGAAATGATATACTGATGATTTAGGTTGATTTCTTTTGCTAGTTAGTATATATTTCTTATTACGTCCCAAAAGGCAGCAGTGATGTCTGGTTGACTTTAGATTAGATTGGGTTGAAGTCATTAAAATGACTAACCATTAGTTTTTTTCATTAAAAGTTTGCAAATGTAATTCTGATTTTCTCAATCATGCTGCCAGAATTTATTCACCAGATTTCTTTATGAAGGACTTTCCTTAATCAACTAGCTATACTGAAATACACTTCATATTGGGAAGACAGAATAAATGCTTTTGTCCTTTTATTTATCAACTCAAAATAATTAGCTTATGTACCAGTGAGGTCCAGAAGTTGTTCTGATGGGTGAAACTTAGATAAACTCCTGTATCATTTTTGACAGTAAGAAAATACTGTGGAGTCAGCATGAACCTTTCCTTTCCCAGACCTGGACTCATCCATTTCTTTGAAAGGGTACTTATTATATTTCAAAATAACAATACTACTATTTTTTACTAAGACTACTGAGTATAAGTTAAGTGATTTTTTTTTTTATGTTTTTGTTTTTCATAGTTATTTTGTATTTAGGACATATCATGCCAAAATGTATAATAATCACATACTGTGTTTTAATAAGTCTCTTCAAATAATATTCTCTGGAACTTTAAATGCCTTAGAAGAAACAGATTCATTAGCAAAGCAATGCATTTATTTTGGAATTATGGATTCTGCTTTTATTTCCTTTTCTGTATTTATTTTTTAGTTATATAATATTTTTATATGGTTCTATAGTCAAAACTGTAAGATATATTCAAAATATATTTCCATGTGTGTCCCCTCAAGCTTAGTTCTTTTTCACCCTAGATACCTATTTTTAGTTTTTGGTTTAGAATTCCATTATTTTTCTTTTAGTATTTTATGAACACATGCATACACACACACACACACACAGGACAGACATAGATACACGTGTATCAATATCTTTTATGGTGACAGCCACGTGTCTATTAGCAAAATAGGCATAGAAGTTAAAATGGGTGGTTGCTACTGCTGTTGGTACACTTTACCTTTGTAGTCCTACAGTAATTTGAAATAGTAGTGGAGACTACTTACCTTATAAGTGTATAGAGAGATTTTATTGACCGTGCTTTGGCCAGTGTGTCTCTGGAATCAGGCGTTGAACAGGTCTCAAACTATAGTAGAAGCGTCTCCCATGAAAGCTTCTGACCAACCAAAATATTAACTATTTCGATCTTTTTCAATTCTGTTTACCTCTCAACAATACACAAAATGAAAAAAGGAGAAAGTTTCTAATGGTAGCTGATCTGTAGATTTTTACTTCTTTGAATCTGTTAAAATGCTGATATGATCAGTATTATGTCTGGAAGAAGTATATAGCCTTTTTTTTCTGGTTCAGAGGACTGAAACTCAGGGCCTTCACACTAAGCTGCATTTCCAGCCCCTATTGTTATTATTATCATTATCATTATTATATATTTTGAGACAAAATCTTACTAAGTTGCCTTGAAATTGTGATCTTCCTCAGCCTCTCAGAGTGCTGGGATTGCAAGGATATGCCACCTTGCCAACTTTTAAACATCTTAAGTTTCACAAATCAAAAAGACCAGTTCCTGTCTATGAACTTATAGAAATAATTGATATCTAAAGCAATCAAACAGAATTAAGGCTGGGCATAGTGATGCATACCTTTAATCCCAGGATTTGGGAGGCTGAGGCATGAAGATCTTTGCAAGTTCTAACTATATTACTACTTTCCTATTTTAAGGAGCCTCAGTTGAATTAGTAAAGACCTAGAGTTGATGAGTATTAGTCAGCTTTTCTATCACCGGGAAAAAAGTACTGAACACCCACAGTATAAAGGAGATTTACTTTGGCTTACAGTTTAGGAGGACTCTATCCATGGTGGGCTAGCCGTACGGTGAAGGAAAGCTGCTTATCTTATGGCAGCCAGGAAGCAGAGAGAGAGAAGCAGGATCCAGGGAGAGATATACCCCTCCAAAACACACATCCACTGACATATGAACCTCTTCCAGCCAGGCCTCACCTCCTAAAAGCATATTTAACTACGAACTTATACAACGAATCAATCCACTGATGGCATATAGCACCCCATGATCCAGTTATCTCCCACAAACCCGACTCTGAACACAAAACTTTGGAGGGACATTCTGTACCTAAACCATTAATACATAGTTTCATCCTTTTTTTTGTTGTTGTTACCTTAGTTAAATGGCCCATATTGTTGATTTTAGGTCATTGTATAATGGGGAACACTTCCTCAGAGTTCTCACTTACTTACTTACTGATTGATTGATTGATTGATTGAGACAGTGTTTCACTGTGTAGCTCAGGCTGGCCTCAAACTTGTGATGGTCCTCCTGCCTCAGCTTCTCAAATTCTGGGATTACAGCCACACACCTGGCTTCATGACTGTCAATTTAAAGAAAGCAGATGTATTGATGTATCAGAATTCATTTCTCCAGATTCTGTTGAGAATTGTGTGTGGGGGGTTCCAATTTCTATTTTTTGTTAGTATATGTTTGCAGTACATGGTGATTACATTAATGAGTACATGAGGGAATTGGTTCATGTACATATGTTAATTCTTTTCTCATACCCTTCTCTTCACTTTTCTCCTCCTTCTTTCTTTCATCTCTTAATCTACTTCCCATTTGCAAAAGGTCTATCTCCTTATTTCCTGTTATCTATATTATATTTTGTACTTTTATTTATATTTTGGGTTTCTCATATAAGAGAAACCATGCAATATTTGAACTTTGTATGATTTACTTTGCTTAACATAACCTTAAGATATATCTATTTTACCTACAAATGACTCAAGTTTATTCTTCCTTATGGCAGTGAGGTGTTCCATTGTGTATGAATACATTTTCTTTATCCATTCATCTGTTAATGGACATATAGGCTGCTTCCAAGGTTTAGCTATAATGAATTGTGCTGCTATAAACATGGATATCCATGTATCCTAAGAAAACTAAACTAGACATTCCACTTGACTCAGCTGTTCACCTTCTAAATATCTTTCTGAAAGAGAATCTGTCATAGACCACTTTATGTTATACTGTGAGTGTTGTGTTATTTGCTCTTAAGATTACAAGTACGCTTCTTATATGTTTTATGGAAAAATTATTTAGAATTTTATCAACTAAATAAAATGGAAAATTTATTAATATTTATTATGGAGAAAAATTAGATGAATTATATACACTAACGTTTTTTCTCTTGTGTTTCTAGTGTGTCACAACTCACAGATATGAATGAACAGGAGAGTGTATTACTAGAACAGTTTGTGACGTTGCCTCAGCTAAAACAAATTATTACTGACAAGGATGACTTAGTAAAAAATATTGAGGAATTAGCAAGTATGTCTTCTTTTCCTTCAATTCACATTTCTTGAGGGAAAAAAATGTGATTACCTGGAAATAAACCAAAGATTTATTTTATAGGAAAAAATCTCCTTTTGGAACCCAGTTTAGAAGCAAAAAGGCAAACTGTTTTGGATAAGGTGAGTTGGTGATTATATTGAAAGGATTTATATAATTTAAAAATAGAATTAAACAGTATTTTTTTTTATTTTCTCTTTTAGTATGAGTTACTTACACAAATGAAATCTGCTTTTGAAAAGAAAATGCAAAGGCAGCATGAACTTAGTGAGGTAAGGTTGTCTAGTTCTTTTCTTTTGCCCTCAGAACTTTCAATCCTGAAGTCCATGGGCCAAATTGCTACTGTCATTATTATCAGAAACTGTTTATTAAGCATCTAACTTTATAAGATCTAGTTACATATAGATAAATAGCTCTCAGTTATGATACATGATAAATCAGTGTGTTCATATAAGAACATGTCTGATAATAAAACAGGAAAATACAAAAAAACTCTCATAAGTAATTTCTGAGTGAGTTATGGGAGCTATGTAACCCTTGTAACAAAAATAAAAAATCTTTAACTTTAGACTCACTTGTAAGAGTCCAGATACATTAAAGAAAAGGTAGCAAATTAAAAAGTAATAATGTATGCAAAATAGTTTATAAAATTTAATTGGTGAAATTATGTTGGTAAAAAAATAAAATCTTTTAAAAATAAAAAAGAATGGAGGGCCAGGCACAGTGGTACACACCTATAATCTCAAGGATTTGAGGAAGGAGGATCACTGTGACTTTAAGACTGACCTGGGCTACACAGTTGAGTTCAAGGCCATCCTCACTACATAGCAAGATCCTGCTCAAAAAACAAGACAAAAAAGGGTATAGTCTATACAGTTCATACCAGTAAGCAATATTATAGTTAATAATACTTCTTTTAACATTGAAATTTGGCAGGTAAGGCCTATGTAATATATCAGAAAATAAAAGTAAGACAAACAACAGCAAAAAAAAAGGATATTGTGCCAGGCATGGTGGCACACTCTTCAGCACTTGGGAGGCTGAAGCAGGTGGATTGTTGCAAGGTCAAGACCAGCCTAAGCTACAAAGTAAGCCCAAGGCCAGCCTGAACCCACAATGAGACCTTGTTTCAAAAAAACAAAAAAAGAGAATTTTAAAAGAATATAAATTTATGAATTTCACATGATTATTCTTTACAATAAGAATAGCTCATATGGAGCAATTAATATGTATTTTGCATTATACAAAGCGATATGTTTACTATGCATATTGGTCCATTATTATTCCAAACTATCAAGTAGTTTTTTCCCCCTATTTTGCATTTTACAGATGAGGAATCCAAAGCACATAAAGGCTGAATAACTTCCTTCAGGTCGTGTAAATAGGAAATATGAGAATTAGTGATTAAACTTCAGTAGGAACCCTTGGGAGGGGCAGCTGAAGTACTCTTCAGTACACAGTGCAGCTCAGTACATGTTGAAGAGTCGTTCACAGCAGTCAACATCATTCCTGAAGCAAATTTCTAATAAGCTACAAATGGAAATTAGTTTTTATTTGATAAAAAAGATTAGAAGCCAACAGTAAATATACCTAATGCCTAAGCATTTCCAGTTTCTTGTTAACATTAGGGATAAGGGAGTAGGGATGGAGACTTAGTTCAGTAGAACAGCACCTACCTGGCAAGCATGAGGTCATGAGTTCAATCCCTAGTACCAAAAAAAAAAGGAATAAGGGAGTAATCCCCATTATCAATGAGCTGTAAGGCTGCTTAGGAGATGGTAAACACTTCAATAAGGTAAGAGAATGAAGAGGTAAAACAGTTGTTTACCAGAAATGCTAGAGAAAAGGTGCTTCCCATTTTTTAGCACTTACCACTGCAAAAAGAAATAGAGAAAAAATCATTTACAACATCAATAAAACTATAAGATACTTACAACTGAGCTCAATAAAGTGAATAACCTTTAATGAAACTAAAGCAGAGCTAGATTATCCATAGAACGAAAAATAGAGTATTAACAAAGATTTCATTTTTCCTAAAATAACTTACAAATTTTTAATAAATTTTCAGAGTCCCAAAAATATTTTTTAAATATCTTAACAAACTGTTGTGAAGTTTATCTGAAAAACTAAGTAGGTTAAGAAGAGGTCGAGGGAGAAGAAAATGGCGGCTTGCTAGAGGATCGGGCGGAGAGTCTCTCCGGAGAAATCATATTAGAAGCTAGAATATGACAACATGGAGAGAGCCAGACAAATGGATAACGATTCTTATTAACCAAGACAGTGCAGCTGGAGGATTTAAAGTCGTGCTGAGACTGTGAAGGCTGAAAACAGGAGGCTGCAAATCCCGTGCCTTTAAATCAACAATTTAACCCGTGGACCCAACAGGAAAAGCTGTGTTGGCTTTTGACTGCCCTGCTACACCAGAGGAGATCCTGAAAGACTTTCGAGCTCCAAAGCCATACGCTGTTCCGCACTGTGCCAGGAGTGCACGTAGTGCGGATTTCTGACCATCCATTCCGCACTGTACCAGGCGCTGCGCAGATTTCTGACCGTTCTGCGCTGTACCGGGAGTGCACGCTGCACGGATTTCTGACCGATCCGCGCTGTACCAGGAGCGTGGGAAAAGTGGGCGGCGTGGACCCTGGTGAGTACTGGGGACCCCGCGGCTGCTGGGGTTGGCCAGAGAACGTCTTGGAACGGGTCAGTGCCCGCTGCCACGGGGACATCAATAACACAGAGTCTGGTGGCAGCCATTTTACAGTTGGGCAGAACCTACAGCTCAGTGGCCTCACTGAGCCCCCTGTAGGGAGGGTTAGTGGAAGGCATCTTGAAATTGGGCAAGCCTGAGTACGTGTTGGCTTCAGCCTCATACAGAGAACTGGTGGGAGACATCTTGAGTTTGGGCAGTTCTGCTGTGCTGGTGCTCCTGTCACAGAGAGGTCTGGAAGAGAACAGCTGGGATTTGGGCAGGACCCTGTGCCATCGTGACATTAGTCAGCTGCTTCTGGTACAAAGAGAACCGGCAGGAGATACTGGGGCTAAACCAAGCCTCTGCTTGGGGCCCAGCAAGCAGATACAAAATAGTCACAACTCAGTGACATCCAGAAAGTACAGTCTAATTTACGGACTGACTGGCGCAGAGGCTGGAGACTAGCCTGTACCACCCTTGCATCCCAGCCTACCCCAGATAACAGCAAATTGGGGAGGACAGCAAAAACTCAAGGCAGCACGCTTCTGAAAGGCCCTAAGCAATTCGGAGAGGGCCAGAGAACCCCAGGACAGTCTGAAAGAAACCAGAAACATGACAAGAGATAAAAATTTAAAAAAATCTCCAGCTGCCCAACATGAGAAAATAAGCCCAGGAGAAGTAAACACCGAAGAGAACAAGCACAGTAACCATCCATTGCTCGACACAGCATCAGCTGAAATTAAAAAGTACCTACATGATCTCATAGAAGAATTTAAAGCTGTACTCGTGATTCAAGTGAGACAAGATATAAAGAGATTAATTAAAGAAATGACAAGCCCCGCCCAAGAGAACACAGATGGAAGAACTGAGGAAATCAGAAAAGAAAGAGAAACTTCTGAAGAAGAATTTAAACATAACTTAGAATGCATGAAACAAATCCAAAGAGAATACCAGGAAACTAAAAACTCCATTGAACACTGGCAAAATGCCTTGACAGAAACTAAAGACAGCCTACTGAAACTTGAAGAGAGATTTATGGCATATGATCGTGAAAGAAAAGGCCTCTTAAAAATAATAAGGAACCAGAATGAAGCAATTCAAAAACTAGAAGATGACAAAAAGATACATAACTTAAGAATAAAGAATATGAGTGAGGAAGCAGGAGCAACCAAAAATGAAATACAAAGAATATTCACAGATATATTAAAGCAAAATTTCCCATATATAGTAAAAAGAAATGATATCCAGATAAAAGAGGCATACAGAACACCAGCTACCTACAACCAAAACAGATCTACGCCTAGACATATAATAATAAAGATTCCAGAAATCCACCAAAAGAACAGAATATTAAAAGCAGCCAAAGAAAAGATGCAGATTACCTACAACGGGAAAACTAGCAAAATAACAGCAGACCTATCAACACAAACTCTTAAGTCAAGAAGGGAGTGGGGAGAAATATTCCAAGTCCTGAAAGAAAATGATATGCAACCGAAGCTCATATACCCGTCAAAACTCTCTCTCAAAATTAATGGAGAAATAAGATATTTTCAAGACAAGGAGGAACTATGGGAGTTCATGGCCACCAATCCAACCCTACACAGAGTGCTGAAAGACATTACAGAGAAAGAGAGGAAGAGACACCAGGATTCCAGCAACAGTGGCAGAGAGGCCTCAGTGAATGGGGCAGACAGTGGAATGAGGGAATAAGGTGGACAAAATATAGTAGAAAAGTGGAGTAGCAGACATGAGGCAGAGACGGTAAGCTATAGTCTTAAGTATAGATAGCGCTGAAACTCTATAAAAAAAAAAAAGAAAAAGGCAGAGGTCATTGTTAATGGTGTATAAGGATTTAAAAGACATAGTAGTCTTATGGACATATTTAGTTTGAATTTAATATATACTGGTCTGTCCACTCATGTCAGATTTGAGGGCACAGACATCTTGACCCAAAAATAGCAGGTTATACCATGGTAACTATCCTTACTTTCCTATTAACTTAAACTGAAATCCTATAATACTTACATTGTCTTACTATGACTGATCTTAATTGAATCTGAATCATAAGACTATGGGTTGGCCATGGCTGATTTTATTTGAAATTGGTATGCTTGTTAGTATCAATCCTAAAAGTAGAGGCAACTACTCTGAGGATGACAAGATGTAAAGAATATCCATACTGGTATTAATTAGTAACAGCTTCCAAATCCTACAATGCTGTCAAAGTTAAATTTTTATAAAAATAGGTGATACTATATTTAACTATAATAAGCCAGTGTGGTGGTCAAATCTATTGAAAATAACAAGAGGAAACATAGTAACTACGGAAGATCGTCTATATTGTGGTCTTATATGTTTTATCCATTGCATGCTTTTCTAGGAAATTGTTTTGCTGTCTTGCTATGACTTGGTATTCCCTATAACATAGAGAGGATAGATATATATGTAGAAATTCACACATGGGTTTTTTTTCTTTTTAATTATTTACGGGAACAGATTATATAAAGTAAGATGTAATGAACAGATACTCTAAGGAAGAGACGCTAAGAAACCCGAGGCTAATTTAGTAGCATTATGATAGAAAGTCTAGCAATACTAATGTTTGCTGATTAGAATGACATTGGACTGGTTTCTTGAGTTCAATTTCAGCATATGTAGAGATGGGGACAGCTATCACAAAGAGAATGAGAGATGCGTTAGTAGTTACTATTGTCTTCCCAAATTTGGTACTTGAGGACCTAAAAAGTCTTCAATGATTTGATTAGTTCTATAATATACAATAAGTATATAAGGTGGGTGAAGATGGGGACAACTATTTGTAAGAAACTAGACAATGTAGATCTCCAGTGGGCTTGCTACGAAATCTGTATTTCTTTAAATTGTTTTTTTAACTGCTATGTTCTGTTTTGATACGTTTAATCTTACCCTCTTTGAGAAGTAAAACAAATGTGTAGGACTGATAACCATATTACTGAGCTCTTGTTCGATCATAGAGCAGAAGGGTTTGTAGTGTCACTTTATGAATGTCATTCTAAATGCTTTAATTCTATAACATGAACAGCTATTTCTAAGATGACAATGTGTAACTTATCAACCAGCAATTTCTTACCGTTTGTTTTTCTGTAAGTTTGTATTATTTCTACCCTTTTTTAAAATCTCCATGTATTCTTTTATTTCCTTTTCTTTAAATAAAAAAATTAAAAAAAAAAAAAAGAAGAGGTCAAACAAAAAAATAATGAGAATGACACTGTTTTTCCTATATCAAAATATACTGTAAAACCTCATCATTTAAAATGATAGTTTTATAAGGAAAAAAACCATAATTCTGTGGAAAAGGCTATGCAATTCAGAAATACATTTGGTATATGAATAATTGCTGAAAAAATTGAGAATTCAACCAGTTATATAATTGATTATGCAGTATCTATTCCAAAAAAAAAAAAAAAAAAAAGGGTTAGACTCCCGTAGCATAAAAGACATAGAAAGGTATTACAGATAAACTGTTTTCAGTGGAAACCATAGAAAGTCAGCTAATTCTTAAGATCTTTCAAAGATTCTGCTGATGAAAAAAAACTCCCTAAGCATAATACAAGAGATAGAACCATGAAAGGAAAAGCTGATATATTTAACTATGTACAAATCATAAAACTGAAAGCAAAATGGAAAAGGGAACACGTTTGTAGCATATGTGACAGATATTAATGCTAGTGGTCTATAAAAAGCAAAGGAGAAAACAAGAAACTTAACCAAAGAAGAAATATAAATGTCCAAAAAATATTCTGCTTTAACAGTTATTCTTACCCCTGAATGTTTATAGAAGAATTGCTTACATGATTATTGAAACATTTAAAAGTTAGAAAACAAAATTTATCTTGATTTTGGTCTCCTCTATAGTAGAACTCTCTACATATGCTCACTTGAGTTGATGATGAACATAAATCTCCTGTACTCTAAAGTGTGAGAAGCACATCAGTAGATTGCTGGTTATATGAAAGCAGGGACCTGTCGTTTTATCCCCTGGCCATTGCTCAGCACATAGTAGGTACTCAATAATATTTAAGTAAAGGAAAATCTTTGAAAATATACTCTACTTTACTATAATACTTTCAAAAGCAAAATAAAACATCATCCATGTGAGCCAGACCTATAAAGACAGATAACCAAGCCAGGAATGGTGTTGCACACCTGTAATCCTAGCACTTAGGACGCTAAGCCAGTAGGATCATGTGAGTTTGAGGCGAGCCTGGGCTACAGAGTTCAAGGCCAGCCTGAAATACATAGTGAAACTGTGTCTCAAAAAACAAACCAAAAAAAAAAAAAAAATCACTTCAACATAGGTAGTGTGAAAATAGTGTATTACCATACATTTTTATTGTCATGTATCCCAATGAGGTACTACCCCAATAATCTAGAGTGGTTATTAAAAAATACTTTTATTTCCTACATGTAGGTCTTTGATCCACTTTGACTTAATTTTTTTCTGTTAAGTAAGATAAGGGTCCAACTTCATTTTCAGCATTTCCAGGAGTGCTTGCTAAACAGACTGCCTTTTCATATTGAGTGGGATTTGACACTCCTTTAGAAATCATTCATCCTATATGTGAGGATTTATTTCTTAGCTGTTATGTCCAAAAAGTCCAAAAATGTTTTTATGCCTGTGCCATACTATTTCAGTTAACCTAACTTTGTGGTAAGTTTTGAAACCAGGAAATATGCATCTTCCATTGTTCTTATTTCTAGATTCTTTTGGCTATTTGAGTCACATGAGATTCTGTATGAGTTTTAGGATGGGTTTTCTATTTGCACAAAAAGCAGTTTAGATTTTAATTTTTGAATTACCTTGCTTAGGGTTGTCATCTTAACATTTCATGTTCCAACCCATGAACATGAGATGTCTTTCTACTTATGTATGTCGTTAAGTATTTTTAATAGGGTTTTGTAGTTTTCAGTCTTCTACCAGAGGGTCTTCCACCTCTGGTTAAATTTAATTCCATATTCTTGCTGCATTCTGTTTAATGGAAGTGAATCTGTAGGTCCAGCCCACCCTTCAGGGAAGGAGATTAAACGAGATCAGAATACCAGGAAGTAGTGAGCCAAAGTGTCATCTTGGAGAGTGCCTTTCAACATCATTGAATTCCAACATACCCAGGAAAAGACTGTGACTTGCCCAGTTTTCATTCAGTAGTTTGTAGCCAGGATTGGTTTCTTTGTCTACATCATATCCAAAAGCTTGAGGACCTGAGTGGGTAGCAGATTTGTATAAAAAGAGGCTATGTCCAGATCTTGGAAATAACCTAAGTGCCCATCAACTGAGGAATGGATGGAAAGATGAGGTATTTTTGTACAGTGGAGTACTACTCAGCTATAAAGAATGATTACATTGAGATATTTATAAATAAATGGATGCAATTTGAGACCATACTCATAAGCAAAATAAATCAAACTCACATGTATAAATACTGTATAGTCTCCCTAGTGTACGAAATAGAGTACGTAAGATTTTATGGTAATCATGATTCCCCATTATATTACTTTGAAATCTTATAATGTTTTCAGTCATTGGTTGGAATGATTTTATTCTGTTTTGTTTGATTTTATTATGTGTGATGGTATGAACAGCTATTTTGAAGAAAACAAGACATCATGGCAGCCATTGCTGATTTAATATCATCTTGCTTTGAAATCGTACCATGCTTTTGTTCTTCTATTTCCATTGGTTCTATCATGTTGTATCTTGCATGGTAGTATAAATGCATGGTAGTATAAACAGATTTTTTATGGAAAAATGAGAGATTATAGTAGCCATTGTTTATTTTCTGTTAATTGGTTTTGAATGTCCTATAATACTTTAATTCTTTTGAATGGTTTTATATTATTTTGGTACTTTGATATTAATTGTGTGTGAGGTATACTCAACCTAGTTCAAAGAAGAGAGACATTATGATAGCTACTGTTAATATCCAGTTGTCTTGTTGTGTAGTGCTTTGTTGCGTACATTGTTCTGTTCTGATTTGCTTTATGTCCTCTTTTGTTTTATTCTCTTTAAAATAAAATTTAAAAAATAAAAGAAGAGGCTATAGGTGGCATACAAGAAGTTGCTTCTCCATTCCTCTGCCTCATTTCTTTCCCTCTAATAGTATATAATGACTGGCAGGTTTTTTATTTTTGTTTTCAGAGCTGTAGTGCAAGTACCCTACAGGCAAGATTGAAAGTAGCTGCCCATGAAGCTGAGGAAGAATCTGATAATATTGCTGAAGATTTCTTGGAGGGAAAAACTGAAATAGATGATTTTCTCAGTAGCTTCATGGAAAAGAGAACAGTATGTAATACTCTTCAGTTGAGGATGAATGACTACATAATATCAAATTACTTAAATACACTCATGAGTAAAAACCCAGCATGTTACTGAGCTGGAGATTTGAGTGCTATGAGAGGCATCTGAAGAGCCTTTATTGGGAAAGATAGCAACATTCCACTGTCACTGTAAACCTGCTTGTTCTGAGTACACAAGCAGGTAAATCAAATACTATAATAGTTGTATTTCAGAAATGCTAGTAACTGTAGCACTCTGTAGTAACTGGTAAATCAGCATAGGTCTGGTTTTAACAGTTGTTATATATACTTGTGAATAACAACCTGTTTTATAAACTGTTTAAAGAGATAGTCTGCAGAGATTAAAAATTGAGAACATCCTGGGATAGCTTCTGATTTTTTTCCATTGTATTTAAAGAAAAACCAAAATAGATCCCTTTTATAGAGTCCTAAATATTTACCTACTTTCTGAGGGATGTTGTTTGTTTTGTTTTTGTTTTTAGGTGGGTTTTTGTTTTTGTTTTTGTTTTTAGGTAAGATCTTGCTATGTAGTTCAGGCTGGACCTGAACTCACTTTGTAGCCCAGGCTCAAATTTACAGCAATCCTCCTGCCTCAGCCTCCCAAGTGCTGGGATTACAGGCATATGCCACCATGCCCAGCTTATATTTATCTACTTTCTCTGAACCATCACACAAAATCTTTAATTGGTAAATTTATAAAATATATTTGGCATAGGTATCGTGTTAAGGCAGACTACATACAGATTTATCATCTCCATTTTTTGTGAGAGGAAGAAGTGCAGAGAAATAATGACTTGCCTAGGTTGCAGTATGAATAAGGCATTGATTTATGATCTGTTATTCTATATTGTATATCTATGCCTGGAAATTTTTACTTATTCTCATGGTTAACAAGAACAGGTTTTTCACCATATTTTAAAAACAGATATTTGAAATTAAATACTAAGAGAATTAACATAAAGGGTCAGAGTTTATTTTATACTGAAAATTTGAAGGTAAAGACTATCTCCACACAAAGTTGAATGCTTCTCTGATAGAAAGTATTAGCTGCCTTCAGCACTTAAAACTTGAAGTAATGTCAATAGATTCAAGGTTTCCTACTTAGAATTCTTTTATAATACTGTATTTTATATTTTTGGAGAAGTGACTGATATTTTAAGTAATTTATCTTCTAGATTTGCCATTGTAGAAGAGCCAAAGAAGAGAAACTTCAACAGGTGATAGCAATGCACAGCCATTTTCATGCTCCTCTATAGGTAGGTGATGTTCTAGTTTCAAGTCTCAGGGTCCTTGCAAAAGTATTTTTGAATTGAAATATTCTTTCTTAACATTGCTTGTTCAGTTTTAAGAGTAATTCTGTTGTTACAGCGATCATGTTGTGTAACATGTTTTGTATTATATTAAACATGATGATGGGGCTGGGGATTTAGCTCAGCGGCATAAGCGCCTGCCTTGCAAGCAGGCAGTCGTGAGTTCGATCCCCAGTATCGATAAAAAGGAAAAAGACAAAAAAAAAAAAACCATGATGTTGTATAAATAAGCATATAAGTAGTCTTTTGGATAGTATTGGCTTAGATGAGCAGAATTTCTAACTATAATTAGTTCCTTTCTCCTAGCTAATGTGTAGTATGTACCACATCCCTTGACTAAATATTGTTCAATAGTCCTATCATTTCTTCCTTTAAATGAACTTTTGTCTGCCTCTTTTCCATCTCACACCCAGATTACTCCAGTAAGTTTCTGATCAGCCTTCCTGACTTTAGTGTTCTTCCTACACAGAAGTAACAAAGTAATCTTTCTAAGTACCACATGTTGTAAAACTTCTCTGCTGCAAAAGCTAGAGAGAACCACTAGCCAGGACAATATAAGTGCCAAATTTCTCTGTGGTTTTAAAATTTTATAACCTGGCACATATTTCAGACCTTTCATTTTACTTTGCCATTTTCCTCTTGCATTATCTTACATGTCATGTTTTTCTTTCTACCACCCCATCATTGTTCACCTCACCTGATCTTCTTCCTTTCCCTGTCCATCTGTTTTGCTTTAGGAATGACTGATTGAAAAACAAATCTAACCCCCGCAAGCCTAAATAAAACCAGGTTATTTGATCATTCAGGGTTACATTGTAGAGCCAAAACAAATAAGGCATGGCTCCTCTTTCTCTTGCTCTTCCTGAGGTTTGCTTTCTTTTGGGGGAGCTGGGATGAAACCCAGGCCCTCTTAATGCTAGGCCCATACTCTCTATCACCCTTTACCATTGCTGTCCATAGTCAGATTATATCATCTGACAACTCAAGCAGGAGTCTCACAGGAGTCTCACAGAGGCTCTGGAATTCTAACATGAATCCTTAGGAAAGAGAGAGGAAAGAGGTATGTCCTGGCCCAGTTAGTTTGGCTTGGATATTAGTATTATGTGGTCCTCTGTCCTGCCCACTAGGCTGAAAGAATAGACTTTGAGAAGAAACTTGGGAAGTCTCGGAAGGGGTGACAGACATTTCTCATGTCCGTTCCAATTTATCTGCTCCTGCGCTTCACATTACTGCCAGCTCTGAATTGTTTTATATCTTATTTTTCAAGATTTGTAGGAGACATCATTTTGAATGTAGGGCTAATTTTACAACAAATTTATATTCTCCACAGTTTTAAAACAACATTGACTTTGAAAAATCGCTTGTTTATATGACTATACTAAAATCCTTTCCTCACCCCATTCCTTCCTAATCAAGTTATCTTATATGTAAATTTTAATTGCAAAGGAACATAGATGGATGGAAATTAATCCGCTTAGATTTCTAAAATTTTCTTTTCTTTCCAGATTTTCCTGAAAACATGAACTGCCAAAGGAAAAATGGGACTCAGAACTAAGCACATGTTTTATATTTATGATTCGCAAGTTGGCATTTCATCCCGGTGGCTGAATTCACAGATACACAGTACTATATAGATTGTATCTAGAACTGACACTGATTTTGTATAGATTAGAATGATTACGATGATCTTTGAGGAATTTTTCTGCACTATTTGCACTAAAAATGTTTATTTATTGTTGATAAACCTATCATATTTAAATTTCTTTGCTATTCCTCTTATTAAATACCTATGCATGTAATTTTAGCTAGTTTTCAATATTTTATAAAGCTACTTAATTTAAATTTTTAGATTTAATTTGAATTTGCCTCATTTCTTTGTCAAGAATTGTGTTAGATTACGTTACTCTCAACCTTTTATTAAATGTTATTCTCACTCTTTCAATGAAAACTATTTTCAACTGTGGAAAGATACTTTTTTCTTTCTCAATGATAAAGGCAATTTATTTTTAACTATTCATAGTGTCAGGAATCACCGAATCCCCCCCAATACGCCATCTCAAGTCATAACTTTTAATACTTACAATAAATCAAGAGAGTAAACCAGCTGCTTTTATATATTGTTTTACTTTTAAAACTAAAGATGCACTTAAAAAGCAATACAAGTAAATATTTAATAAAAAATATCTTTCACTTAAACCGGTCTAAAACAAACTTTGATGCTAGTATTTTAAAATTAAGTATCTAAATTACAAATGTTAGCCATCTTTTGGGGAGGTTTTGTTTGTTTGTTTGTCTTTTTGAGACAGGGTCTCACATGTAGTTCAGGCTGGCCTTGGGCTCACTTTGTAGCCCAGGCTGGTCTCAAACTTGCAACAGTCTACCTGCCTCAGCCTCTGAGTGCTGGGATTATAGGAGTGTACCACCATGCCTGGCTCTAGCCATTTTTTTTGCTAACAAATAAATATAGATGTAAAAAAGATCAGTGAATTGTTCCAGGCTGCACTGTGAGCTAGACTTTCCTAAAGAAAAATATAGAGTGGTGGTGGTGAATGTATGGCACTTATGCCACATCAGGATATTTTTCACCATGGAAAGTTCTAAAAGATTCACCATCTCTGATATAGAGTAATAAGTGAATTTAACATTTAATTTTTATACAATCCTAAATTTTAATGAATTGGATTGGATTTTCTCCTTAATTTGTGTTGTGTTCAGTAATTTGTTGTTGTGCTGTGTCAGAGGCTGTCGTCCTCTCGGATGCAGGCAGAAGATCCTAGCATCCCAGAATGCTGTGTCATGCCTTCTTTGCAGACACTGCTGCCACCCAAATACCACTACTCTGACTTCATCATCCTCTAGCCTCTTGTTGATCTTCTTAAAAACAGATCGACACATCTGAAATATTGTGCTTGCTTTCTTGTACTTACTTATAATTGTTGGTAGGGTGGTGTTGTATGATTAGAACATTTGGGTTGTTTTCAGATTTTGAACATTAAGAATATAGCAGTTATGGACATTCTTGTACATATCTTTCAATGGGCATATACATTCCTTTTTCGAATATATGCCTAACGTGTGAATTAATGCTTTACAGGGTGATTATTTAACCTTGTAGATTATACAAACACAGTTTTCTAGAGTGATTATATTATCAATAAACATGAGACTTTTAATTTTTCTCAGTTTGATATGAATATTTTATATTTGAACCATTTTTGGAAATCATGATATACTTTCAATTTATATTTTCCTGATCACTCAGATTATTGACTTTATTTTTTCTGTTTTGAACCCAGGATGTTTATAGTGAGCTACATCCCCAACCAGTTTTCTGTTTTTTTGTTTTGAGACAGAGTCTTGCTAGGTAGCACAGGGTGGTCACAAACTTTAATCCTGCCTCAGACTGCCAGAGTGTTGGGATTCCAGGTGTGGTTCACCACACCACCAAATTTTGTATATACAAGAACACTGGGATACTCAAAGTTTACCCAGGCATTACAACTTCACCGAAATCATCTTAAAAACTGGTTCTACAATTTAGTTCAGGATATTTACTTTGCAGTTTCACAGTTCATAGTCTCTCTCTTCATGTCACTGGAAATGCATGCTTCTTAAATCTCTTAATTTTTTTTCATAACTCATGAATTTTAGATGTCCTGTTATCTACACTTGTAAAGTCCTCCTCAGTCATTTGTATTTTTCTCACGTTATTTAAACAGTTTTTGCAGATGGAGATGCCAGATTCATGGTCTTGAAAAGTTACAGAATTTTTGTAACTTGTAATTATTTGTTTTTAAGTAAATATTTTCAAATTTTAGCTGCTTCCTGTCTTAGTTACTGAGGACACAGAAATATTTACTAATACAAAGTTTGATCACATTATTAATCTATTCTGAAATTGCTACTTTGTCTATTGTGTATATTATTTTTATATTGAAATCTCTTAAAAGTTTTAAATAGGGCTAATTATTAAAAACATCATAGATCTCAGCATGTCTTAATAAACCTCTACAAAAAACTAGGGGAACTTTTTGCTGTTTTTCTCTTAAAGTGAAGCAAAAACAGTAATAATAAATAAAAGTAAATGTTACCAATTTTTTATGCTAATATTTTTTAAATCAACCATATTTAACATGCAGCATTCAAAATTGCCACAGAATGTAATTTTAAGGAGTGCTTCTTTTTCTAGGCTTATTTGAGCTTAGTCATTTTAGGAAGGCTAAAGAAATTCCTTCCTGGGCTGGGGATTTATCTCAGTGGCATAAGTGCCTGCCTTGCAAGCGTGCGGTCGTGAGTTCAATCCCTGGTACCGGTATAAAAAAAAAAATCCCTGCCCAAAAATCGTATCTATTGACTATAATTTTTACAACCTAATTTTCTCGTGAGTAGCTTACAGTCTAGTTAATTACCCTGGATCTTATTTGCCTTGTTCTTGAAAACCTTAAAGTAGTCACCATCAGTTTGCTAGATCTTTCTATACTTTTAGCTCAAGATGTTCCCCAGAGGCATAAAAACCAATTTGAAAAAATTCCAGTGAGCCACTGCAGGTTATTTGAATTCATCCACTTGACTTCCTATCTCTTTAAGGTTTTTATGGAGCCCAATTGATAAAAGTGAACCTTGTGATTGAGAGAATGAAAATTCAAATTGGATGTTCTTGGAATTCTATTACTTGGAGAAAGGCAAAATGAGATCTTTGTAGCAATAGTCACACTACACATTAAAATAGGCACTGTTTTTATTAACTGACATTTAATATAGATTTATGATTTGAGGATTTGAATTTTTCACATTTAATTCATCTTTATTTACAAAATATCCTAAAATGATAAATTAAAAATGAGAGATATGTCAAAATTACTTTTGAAGAGACATAAAAATGCGTCAGGTTTTTTGGTTGTGCTTCTGGAAATTCAGCAGCAGGCTGAATCAACCCTGAAGGAGACTGTCTTCAAGGTGGCATGGGAGAGGACAGTACAGTTCTCAGAGAAACATTCTGAGGACAGCCTCATAGTGAACAGACACTATGGCAGTGGGAGACGTGAGCCAGAGAAATGTGTTGATGGAAAATAGTCTTGAGACGTTCTATCCATGTTTCCTGGAGGAAAAGTATGAGCTGACTCCTGGGATGCATGAGAAGGGTTTCCTCTGCCAAGAGGGAAGGGTGGAGGAATAAAGCCCAGGCGCATTGCTTGGCTTTCAGCGAGGAGAGATGAATGAGGCACATTTGAATTACCGAGATCTTTGGTATCCTTTCTACTGGGTTTCATTTCTAGCCCAGTTCCTCTATCTCATTGCTCATCAGAGGTATGCAGTTGGGCTTTAGACACTGTCAAGGTCAACTGAACCCAGCAGAAACAGCAGAAGCTTGGTCAGAGACTTCCAATTGATCATAAAATATTTAAATTTGCTATTTTATAAATGTCTTCTTACATTATAATCGTGCCCCAACAGAACCTCCCAGAAGTTTTCCTAATAAGCAAACCCGTATGCATGTACTCTCGGGTGGATGTATTTGAGGGTTGTTGTCTAATCATGTTGGGCTTCCTGTTGCTTTTGAGCAGTCACCTACCTGCTTGCTGACGACTAGGCCAGGACTGGATGAGCCAGAGGGTGAACTGGATCATTTACCCCACCACCTGTCTGGAGGGAACCTACAGGGTTTGAAGGCCTGGGGCAACCAGCCTGGCCCTGCATGTTGGGCTGGGTTGGCCAGGGGCAGAGGTGGGGAAGGGATTGGTAGCTCAGATGGGGGCTGTCACTAGGGTACTGGCTGGGGCAACTTTACAAATCAGGTCAATTCCATAATCATCTGTTGTGTCATTTTCCTAAGGTAACATGAATAACGGGCTTAGAGATAACACAAAATGTAATTAAGCATCAAATTTTGGGTGCAGATGTCATTGATGCAGAAATTTGAGTGGTGATACTGTTATAGGCAATTGATTTAGAAATATTAAAGTGAAAATGGCCTTTTTAGTTAAAGGATGGCCAGACCTCACAACCCACAAGAGTTTGGCTTTCTCCTCCACTTGATACAGGGGTTGGAGGTATGTGTGACCTTTGACTGGAAGTACATTTAGGGTGGGCGCTTATGACGCCTGAGAAGCTGACTGGAATTTTCTTCACAGGCACAAGGAAAGGAAGGAGGCAGCTGTAATCAGAGAAGAAAGAAGAAGTGGCCATCAGGGTTAGCTTTCCCAATCTGGCCTCCAGCCATGTTAGGCCACTCCCATAATGTCCTGTAATTTATTCTAGGGCAAAACTCTCTTTCAGGTATCAGTCACCTTGAGAAAGCCAGAAGGAGCCATTAACCCAAACCCTTACCAGCAAAGGGCCTATTCTGTATTCATACCTGCTTGTATATGACTTGCTTTCCAATTTGTTCCTGATTTTAATCAGTTTTACCTGAGTAATTATAATCTTAATGGTTGACAGTAATTCTTCCCACCTCATGCCCACCTACCTGTCTTGGGAGTTCCTATTTTTCCCCATCATGGACCCACCTTGCTTCGTGGTTTTGCTCTATAAAAATCCCTGTAAAACACAGGGTCCTTGGCAAGTTACTTTGGACCCTTTCTGTCTGTCTTGGACAGTAAATATTCTGCTCTTAACCTCCATTGTTCTTAAAATTCATTCTTCGATTTTAGAAAACACAAACTGTACTGGACATCTAGTATCTGGGAGTTTTCTTTTCCCTATGTCAATATTATGTGAGATTGGCATGGAAGATTAATGTAACCTGAGTGTTCTTCCTGCATAGTGTATGGGGAAGCGGGGTTTGTCTTCTTCCTGCTTCTTCCTGCATCTCACAGATGGATAATTCTTTCCAAACCATCCTGCATACCTGAGCAATCTCAAAAGAAATTGTTTCTTATGTTTTAAACCCTTATCTACTCTCTATCAAAGGGAAGTCTGTTTATTTGGGGGGTGTGGACAGGTAAAGGAAGGAAATCTCAGCATTGATTAATAAACTGGCCTGTGTTCCCACCACTGAAACCCTGAAGGTGTAACGCCAGATCCACTCAAGTGTAGACATTTTTGCCTGCTTTTGATATAGGAGAAAGAAACCCAATCTGTTAGGGCTAGATGTCCAAAACTCC